CATCGAAGATGAGTCTTAAAGCTGTTTTACTGCATGTTTTGCCATCAATTCCAGTTGGTCATGCAGTCCATATGAAGGAAACCTATGACAACATGGAACAACTTTTGAGGTGCATAAACTATGACCAACATCAGTGGCAGCTTTGTGGCGATTTGAAGGTTGTTGCTCTCTTGCTTGGTCTGCAGACTGGATACACAAAGTACTACTGTTTTTTCTGCGAATGGGATAGTCGTGCAAGAGATTCCCACTACATCAAGAAAGATTGGCCACTCCGACAGTCATTGGAGCCTGGGAGGAAAAGTGTTCAGCATCCACCACTTGTTGAATCAAGGAAGATTTTGTTACCACCCTTACACATCAAGCTGGGTCTGATGAAGAACTTTGTCAAGGCCATTGACAAAACACAAGCAGCTTTCAAGTACCTCCATGGAAAATTTCCAAGGTTAAGTGAAGCTAAGATAAAGGAAGGTGTCTTTGTTGGTCCTCAGATTCGTGAACTTCTTCGAGATGATGCATTTGACCATGCACTGCGTGGCAAGGAAAAGACGGCATGGAAAGCCTTCCAGTTAGTGGCAATAAATTTTCTCGGAAACAACAAGGCAGACAACTACAGGTTGTTGGTGGAAAACCTCCTCAAGGCATACAAAAGCCTTGGTTGCAACATGTCACTAAAGATACATTTTTTGCACTCTCATCTAGACTTTTTTCCACCGAACTGCGGAGCAGTGAGCGACAAGCACGGCGAGTGATTTCACCAGGACATTGCAACAATGGAGAAACGCTATCAGGGCAAATGGAGCCCATCACTGCTTGCAGACTATTGCTGGACAGTGACAAGAGATGCTCCGTTTAATGAATACAAGAGACAAGCCAAGAAGCGCCGAGTAGAGACTGAATAGGACTATACTATGTACAGAATAGTTTTTTGCCTTTTGTTTCATAATCAATTTTATTTATATAACCCTTTTGCTGATTTTTAAAGTGTTACATAAACAGGACAGGTGAAATATTATCATGTTAAGCAACCATAAACACATGAAAAGACCTAGGTTTACAATTTATGATTAAAACTCTACTATCTACACAATATACATAGACATAAAATGTAAAAACTTAAATATCTTAGAAACAGTAGCCAATCAGTTGTTTTAATTGTCATATTTGAATTCAGCACATCAGAATACATAATAAATAGCACATTTTATCTCTGAAGCAGACGACTTCTCAAAAATTGTAGACCAGTGTAATTAGAACATAGCAGTAGGGATATATTACCGACCACCTGACCAGGATGATGATAGTGACTGTGAAATGCTCAGAGAGATTAGAGAGACTATTAAAATTAATAATGCAATAATAATGGGGGATTTCAACTATCCCCATATTGATTGGGTACATGTCACCTCAGGACGGGATGCAGAGATAAAGTTTCTTGACACCTTAAATGACTGCTTCTTGGAGCAGCTAGTCCTAGAACCCACAAAAAGAGAGGCAATTCTTGATTTAGTCCTAAGTGGAGCACAGGATCTGGTCCAAGAGGTGAATATAGCTGGACTGTTTGGTAATAGTGACCATAATATAATGAAATTTAACGTCTCTGTGGCAGGGAAAACACCACAGCAACCCAACATTGTAGCATTTAATTTCAGAAAGGGGAACTACACAAAAATGAGGAGGTTAGTTAAACAGAAATTAAAAGGTAAAGCGCCAAAAGTGAAATCCCTGCAAGCTTTTTAAAGACACCATAATAGAGGCTCAATTGAAATGTATACCCCAAATTAAAAAACATAGTAAGAGAACCAAAAAAGTGCCACTGTGGCTACACAAAAAAGTAAAAGAAACAGTGAGAGGCAAAAAGGAATCCTTTAAAAAGTGGAAGTTAAATCTTAGTGAGGAAAATAGAAAGGAGCATAAACTCTGGCAACTGAAGTGTAAAAATATAATTAGGAAAACCAAAAAAGAATTTGAAGAACAGCTAACAACAATTTTTTTAAGTACATCAGAAGCAGGAGGCCTGCTAAACAACCAGTGGGGCCACTGGATGATCGAGATGCTAAAGGAGCATTCAAGGACGATAAGGCCATTGTGGAGAAACTAAATTAATTCTTTGCATTGGTCTTCATGGCTGAGGATGTGAGGGAGATTCCCAAACCTGAGCTATTCTTTTTAGGTGACAAATCTGAGGAACTGTCCCAGATTGAGGTGTCATTAGAGGAGGTTTTGGAACAAATTGATAAACTAAACAGTAATAAATCACCAGGACCAGATGGCAAGAGTTCTGAAGGAACTCAAATGTGAAATTGACTAACTGTAGTCTGTAACCTATGATTTAAATCAGCTTCTGTACCAAATGACTGGAGGATAGCTAATGTGACACCAATTTTTAAAAAGGGCTCCAGAGGTGATCTCGGCAATTACAGGCTGGTAAGCCTGACTTTAGTACTTAGTAAAGAACAACATTTCAGACACCTAGATGAAAATGATTTACTGGGGAAGAGTAAACATGGTCAATCATGCCTCACTAATCTACTAGAATTCTTTGAGGGGGTCAACAAGCATGTGGACCCAGGGTAATCCAGTGGATATAGTGTACTTCGATTTTCAGAAAGCCTTTGACAAGGTCCCTCACCAAAGGCTCTTAAGCAAAGTAAGCTGTCATGGGATAAGAGAGAAGGTCCTCTCATGGATCAGTAACTGGTTAAAAGATAGGAAACAAAGGGTAGGTATAAATTGTCAGTTTTCAGAATGGAGAGAGGTAAATAGTGGTGTCCTCCAGGGGTCTGTACTGGGCCCAGTCCTATTCAACATATTCATAAAGGATCTGGAAAAAGGGGTAAACAGTGAGGTGGGAAAATTTGCAGATGAAACAAAACTACTCAAGATAGTTACGTCCCAGGCAGATTGCAAAGAGCTACAAAAGGATCTCTCAAAACTGGGTGACTGAGCAACAAAATGGCAGATGAATTTCAACGTTGATAAATACAAAGTAATGCACATTGAAAACATAATCCCAACTATATATATAAAATGATGGGGTCTAAATTAGCGGTTACCACTCAAGAAAGAGATCTTGGAGTCATTGTGGCTAGTTCTCTGAAAACATGCACTCAATGTGCAGCGGCAGTCAAAAAAGGGAACAGAATGTTGGGAATCATTAAGAAAGGGATAAATAATAAGACAGAAAATATCATATTGCCTCTATATAAATCCATGGTACGCCCACATCTTGAAAACCGCGTGCAGATGTGGTTGCCCCATCCAGGGGTGAAAGTAAGTCCAGTGACTTACCGGTACGCTGGGGCCAGCTCTGGCCCCCGGAAGGGGTGGGGCCTAGGGCGGAAGGGGTGTGGCTGAGGGAGTCAGAGCCAGCCCCAGCCCACCCTGTAAGGTAAGTGCCCCCCCGCCACCGGGGTAGCAACAGCAGCCCGGGGCTCCGGGGGCTATTTAAAGGACCAGGGCGGCAGAGGCAGCTGGAGCCCCGGGCCCTTTAAATAGCCCCTGGAGACCCCTGCTACCCCTGGGCGCTATTTAAAGGGCCCGGGGCTCCCCTGCTTCTACCGCCCTGACCCTGTAAATAGCCGCTGGAGCCCTGGAGTAGTGGCGGTGGGGCTCTGGCGGCTATTTAAAGGGCCAGGGTGGTAGAAGCAGTGGGAGCCCCAGACTTGTTAAATAGCCCCAAGAGCCCCACAGCCCTACCCCAGGGCTCCAGCAGTGGGGCTCTGGTGGCAATTTAAAGGGCCTGGGGCTCCAGCCCCTGCTGGGAGCCCCAAGCCCTTTAAATTGCCCCCTGGGGAAGCTGGGCTGCCCCATTATGGCAAACCGGCTCTTGCAGGTATGCAGTACTGGGGCATACTGGCTTATTTTCACCTCTGGCCCCATCTCAAAAAAGATATATTGGAATTGGAAAAGGTTCCGAAAAGGGCAATAAAAATGATTACGGGTATGGAACGGCTTCCGTATGAGGAGAGATTAATAAGACTGGGGAATTTTCAGCTTGGAAAAGAAACAGCTAAGGGGGATATGATTGAGGTTTATAAAATCATGATTGGTGTGGAGAAAGTAAATAAGAATGTGTTATTTACTCCTTCTCATAACACATGAACTAGGGGGACACCAAAAGAAATTAATAGGCAGCAGGTTTAAAACAAACAAAAGGAAGTATTTTTCACCCAACACGCAGTCAACCTGTGGAACTCCCTGCCAGAGGATGTTATGAAGGCCGAGACTATAACAGGGTTATAAGATAAAAAAGAACTAGATAAGTTCATGTTGGATAGGTCCATCAATGGCTATTAGCCATGATGGGCAGGGGTGGCGACCTTCTGTTTGCCAGAAGCTGGGAATGAGCAACAGGGGATGGATCACTTGATGATTAGCTGTTCTGTTCATTCCCTCTGGGGCATCTGGCACTGGCCACTGTCAGAAGGCAGGATACTGGGCTGGGCTAGATGGATCTTTGGTCTGACCCACTATAGCCGCTTTTATGTTCTTCCTCTCTCTGTGACTCCTGAGCACGGGCGCGAAGAACTGACAGAGTAGCAAGGGCACAGGATGCTATGGGACAGCTGCAGGAGGCCTATTACTCTTGACACAGACCAAGCAGTGCCCACACTCCCACTGCATCATCCTCAGCATGGCAACCAGGGCGCCAAGCCCTCAGTCAGGTGGTTTCTCCGCGGCACATAATGAGTTGGGGAGGTTGACCGGACCGTAGCTGGGCCCACACCCGGCAACTCCCACTGAGCTCGTCTTCGGTTCCAGGGCCGAGCAGGAGCCCGCGAGGCCGGGGAGCTGCCCATCCTCCCAGGGGCGCTTTCCCCTAAGGCCGGGCTCGGCCTCCTTCTGTCCCTGGGGGGAGCCGAGTCCCTCGTGCCACTGGGCGAATCCTCGGGCCTGGGCCACCGCTGCCGGCAGAGGGTCCCGGGCCGGGGGCGGAGTGCCAGCGCGGGAATCCCAGCTTTGCCCCGCCCCTGCCGCGCGACCGGAAGTGGCGACTGACCCGGAAGTGGCGGCGGCGCAGGGCGATGGCGGAGAAGTTCGACTCGTTGGAGGAGCAGCTGGAGAAATTCGTGGAGAACATCCGGCAGCTCGGCATCATCGTCAGCGACTTCCAGCCCAGCAGCCAGGCCGGCCTCAACCAGAAGCTGTGAGACCCCCTCCGCCCCGCAGGCCGGGTCTCGCGCCGTCCCCCTCCGTTCAGTGGCCTCCGCGCTGTGCGGCTGGGTCGGAGGGTGGCTGAGCCCAACGGAGCAGCGCCAGCCCCTTGCAGGCGCTGTGGGGCCTTGTGGGAAGCGGGTGTGGGGGCACTTCCCGGAGCAGAGCCTGCCTGTAACAGTCTGTGGGTGGGGTGGGGAGTCCCGTGGTGCCTCGTAGCCTGCAGGCGCTGTCTCGCCTAGGAATAGTGAGGACGGGTCTGTCCGTGATGGACCAGTGTACAAATTTCAAGTAACACCTGTCACGTGGCGTGGTGATCAGCAGAGAGTAGGTCTCTAACATGCAGTTGCATTGTTGTGTGAAGAGCAATACTTATGTTTAAATAAACTGTAAACTAAACTTTGAAGAATGGTATATTAGCAGTGATTCAACAAGATGCAGTGATGCCAAGTGTGCAGCCCCACAGGAAAATATACTGATTTCCAAACTTGTTTGTAGTTTGTTCAAATCTGGGACATGTGATTGCAACAATAATCTATTTTGTTACTGCCCTGGTGGGATTCATGATTATAATTTACCTGTTTGGAAGGGACTCATATACTCAGTATGAAGTGTTATGTACTGAAGACCTAGATTTAGAAGTGCATTAGGAATCCAGGGCTACACATGGAGAAGGTGCCATGAGAACCTCCAGAGAACCTTTCCATTCCCTTGTTTATTCATGCAGTCTCTTGTAGGTAGCAACCCAATAACAGTGAGATGAGTTATACATTGTAGCTGAGAAAATATAGAAGGATGTCTGTAACTAATTTGGGTCTGGTTTTATAGCAACATGATTTTTCTCTTCCCAGGAATTTTATGGTTACAGGCTTGCAAGATATTGACAAGTGCCGACAGCAACTTCACGATATAAGCGTACCTTTAGAGGTTTTTGAGTAAGTAACTTTACATCTAGGGAGCAACCTCCACACATCATCAAATTGAAGAGACAGTTAATCTTGAAGTGTTAGACATTTCCACTGCAGTTTTTATGTTTTGTAAATTTGACTTTAAAAATACTTTTTCCTTCAAATTCTTTTGGAACAAGACAAATTATGAATTATCCATTTATTTTCACAATTGTTTATTTTGTCATCTATGTTTGTATAACTCAAGGCTTGGAAAGATCTTATCTAATTCAGTGTCTTGGTACTGTACATAGCTTTCCATCTCACTCTGGTTCTTTATTCAGGATTCAAATCTTGCTTTAGATTACAAGTGACATTTAGTTTGGTTTTTATCAGAGCCCCTGTTTTTGTACACCATAATCACTGCATATATTTACATAATTGGTAGTCAGCTGTTAATTGGCCCAAACTAGATCAGTAAGAGTATAACAGGTGAATGGCAGAGCTATGTGAGTCAACTTATATTGTTCATTGAGTTAGCACATTAGTCATCCAATTTAATGAATTCTAAATTACCTCAAATGTGACAAGCTGAGAGATGTGTATAGTATTGCTAATTGTAGATGGCTAAACCAGGTGGTCTCAAAACTTTCTTATAGTTCAGTCCACATTTTAATAGTTTGAGACAATATCTTTCTATTTATTTTAATCACACAACAACCTTGTGGCTACTACAGTAATTGTTTCTATGGCCTAGTAAAATTAGGGAAATACTTATGCCTTTTTAGCACTTTCTAATAAAGTAAGTGTGACCTTTTTAAAAGAAGTCAACATATCTCTCCCCAGTTCTGTCTACTCATTTCCTCTTGATCTTCTAGCTGCTTTATTCCTTTCTCCCTGTATACCACTTTGCTACGGTTGTCACATCACTTTGCTTTACTCTCACTGCTGGTCCATTTGCTGATGGTGACTCCTGTTTCTTCTCCAGCTTTCATGTACTTACTGGTGGTCTGGAGAGAGTTAGCTAGTCACATAGTACTGATTCCCAGCACATTCTACAACCCTCTAGACTCTCCACAAGGAAAAGTCTGGACACTTAGAAGCAGCTGGCCATTGAAAACCAGGCAGGTGCTCCTTGGATCACAGTTTGGGAGCTGCTGGCCTAATCCACATATTAGAATGCATGCTTCAGATGGTGGAATACAAAGCATGCTTGTATATTACTTTTACTCAGTGTAATTGAGCTTCTCATTGCTGTATTTAGTGAAGATGAGGAATATCTTAGCCTACATGATACACTTACATGGCATCTTTCATATTTCCAGATACATAGATCAAGGCCGTAATCCCCAGCTTTACACTAAAGAGTGTTTGGAAAGGGCTTTGGCTAAAAATGAACAAGTAAAAGGCAAAATTGACACGATGAAGGTAAGATGGGTATAATGTATTAAAAGTATAATTGTTCTTTATAATAAGAATAGGAACCATATTTAAGTATTTGTAAGCCTTGTCATCTTTTTTGTTTGTTTGTGTGATTATCAGATTTTCTTCATAAAATGGGTTGCACTGGGGCTTATTTCGAATCTATTTGTTTTAACTGATGCTGCGGCAGCCTGTCTTGTAGTTATGGTCTCTAATTCTCTGGTAAGGTTAAATACAAAAGCAAACTTTCATTTCTTTAGCCATAACACACATCTAATCTAATCTTCTTTATACAGTCTGTTCATAGAGCTGCCACCTCTTGTAAAGTGCTTTGATATCTAATGATGGAAAGTGTGCTGTGTAAGAGCTAATTGGTTTTGTCACTACTGCTATTCCATAGACACTGAATATGTGTAATTTTCTTAAGTATGGCTTTGGCGTGCACTTTAACCATAAAACAGTTCTAGGAATAGAAAAACATGAAGGATACTCTCTAATTATCTCTTCCTAATAAAGTAAGATGCTTTCTGTTATTTGATAGTTACCGTTGTATGACCCAAACAGTTCACCAAAATTCAAGGTTCTGTGGGTTGTATTGGTCAGGAGAAGAAACTGATGATGGAGCTTGATATCTTCGATGCAGGCCTCTTTATAAAGAATTTAGAGAGTCATGTTTCCCCAAACACAGCAGGAATCACAGGAGAGAGTTTCTTTGCTCACAGTTCCAAGCCTCTTCAACTAGCACTCAGCCCAAAAATCTCTCTAGGATTTTATTATGCTCCCAGGCAAGCCTTTGTCCTTGACTTTCTGCTCTTTCGCTGATTTTTGTTGTGTGTTCTTGCTGCTTCCCTGTCTCATACACCGCTGCTAAAGCAATACTTGGCAAAGCCTCTCCACCCACATGTGCCTTACATGTGTCCGTGTTTTGGCTGTAGGCTGCTATTGTTCCACCTTTCTGGTTTCGTAAAGGAGTTGAATATTTCTTCCACTTTTCCTGAGTGAAGGACAGCTTTAACCACATCAGTTTCAACAAGGTTTAACCCAACCCATAACAGTATTTTACCCTTGTGTGATGCTAAAGGGATTAAATCAAACAAAAAAAACCACAACCCTCTTAACCCATGAGTGGAGGACAATTAAGTTTTAGCAGTAACAGCAGTCTGCACTTATTCCCCTTAAATAGAAGCATTGTTATGTTTTCCAAATCTTGTTTGGCCTCATTGCATTTGGAACACTGGTGTGTAGATAAGTTATACATCTATAACGAAAAACTGTTTTACCTAACAATAAAATATATTTTACTATCTTCAGTGGAAGATGAGGCACACAGTGGCAGATGATATTAAATGAAAGTTCAAGTTGATGGTTTAAAAAAAAAGTGTTTGACTTACGGTTCTTGAATTAGTAGTTTCTTTTCAGTAAGATCATGGGCATCCTATTACATAGTGTTTAATCAGCCTTAGGAATTCATTACTGAAAGATACTGAGACAGTTTATCAAGATTCAGGAAAAAATCGTCAGCTGAAGAATAGCTAGATTTAAATAGGCACAGAGGACAGCAACATGCATGCTACAAGACATAAATTGATCTCCAGGTTTCAGTGGCCTGTCTTCATCCTCATGACTTGTAGCCTTACATACTTGTCTAAGTGCATTCTTTTTATTCTTTCTGAAGTGCTGGGTGTAAGATGCTCCTTTTGGGTAGAATATCAGACTTGGTGAACCTCTTGTATAGTTAAACATAAAACTATTATGCTAGATCACAAGTTGTATTTCTGATGGAGTGGGTGTGACTGTAGCATGCTGTAAGCTGGCTATATCCAGTTATTGGACACCATAGCACAAGTCAGAGAAGCTCCTAGGCTGCTCTAACTGGTTTCAGGGCTGGGGTAAAGATTCAGGAAGCCATAATGGGTTGGTTCTCAGCATCTTTCCCTCCCTTACTAAAGATTCCCTACCCTTGTCCTGGTGATTGTGAGGGAAGAAAACCAGCCATGCTTTGCTAGGTGCTTCCCTGGTCTCAAGCAGTATCAATCAAACTTCTATCCTTTTCTCCCTGCAGCTCCCACAGCCTGGCAGGGAAGTCAGAACTATTCTCTCCTTCCCCTGTGGTGTAGTAAGCAACTAGTGGATGAGTTGCTGAGCTGCTGCATCAGGGAAGGGACAGCAGTTGGTCAGAGGAACTTGGCTCACGTCAGAGTTGCTCTTGGGGCTTGAAGAGAAGAGCTAGGCAGCACTAGGGGAAATGGTGGAAAGGGGGCTGATTCAGGCCTCTTAGGGTATGCCTACACTGGAAACTTCAAAGCGCTGCCGCGGGAATGCTCCCGCGGTAGCGCTTTGAAGTGCAAGTGTGGTCGTGCACGAGCGCTGGGAGAGAGCTCTCTCAGTGCTCTTGGTAATCCACCTCCACGAGGGGATTAGTTCCAAGCGCTCGGAGCCTGTCTACACTAGCGCTTTAAAGCGCTCTAACTTGCTGGCTCAGGGGGGTGAAAAATCACCCCCTTCAGCGCAGCAAGTCTGAGCGCTGTAAAATGTAAGTATAGACAAGCCCTTAGTTTACAAGCTTCAGGACATGGTTCAGCACATTTTCAATTAGTAAGTGCCAGTTTTCTTCTTTAAAATGATAGACTCGAGGGCCACAAATTGGACACCACTGCACCAGAGCTTATCAAGAGTCCAGTTTCCTTGCGTTTCTTGAATGAGTTTGATTGCTAGTTTAGTTTATAGAAAATACAAAATACTTGAGTTTGCCTCAGCAAATAGATTTCAGGCAGTTACTATGAATACGGATCTTGTAGGACGTGTTTTTCTGACTTGACTACCATTCAGTGGGGTCAAGGAATGGTAGACCTGGTTGACTATTATTTGCAAATATTTCAGTGAATAACTTATTCTGTTTGACTGGCTCAAGTAAATGGCCAATTTTTTTTTTTTTAATATTCTAAAATCTTTTTTTCATTCTAGAAATTTAAAAGCCTATTGATTCAAGAGCTGACTAAAGTCTTCCCAGAGGACATGGCCAAGTACAAAGCTATTCGAGGAGAAGAACCTCCTCCTTAAGACTGCCTTTGGTATGTTCTAAGATGCCTAATATTTTCATGGAACTGATTATCTCCTGTTGTGAAAATTGTTGAGCTCACTGGACAGAGGAAGAACTTAAGTCTTCCTACTGGGAGTGTTCATGTATGTCGTGGTTATTGGCTGTGAGGGAGCCTGATTACAACTCAAATTTTTTTTTTTTTTTTTTTTTGGAAGCCATAATGTTTTCCTACAGACTTGTGTCTAAAGATTGCATTTGAAACTTCCTGTGCTAATGTGTTCTTTCCACAAAAGTTGTTTGAGGCATGTATGACTTGCAAGCTATTATACATCATTTCCCACAAAGTACACTTCTAGTATGAAAGAAATTTTATATATATATATATATATATATATATATATATATATATATAATATATATAGTGACAAAGTTCCTCCTCTACCTTGGTGGGTCCTGTGCTTATTGGCAGATTTGCTCGCCTCACAGATTCACCATGTGGGTCGGGAAACAGCCCAGAGACCTTCCCCTCTGGTAGAAGCCACAGTCCAGGTCAATTCCTCTGGTGTCTGATCAGGAGTTGGGAGGTTTGGGGGGAACCCGAGCCCGCCCTCTACTCCGGGTTCCAGCCCAGGGCCCTGTGGACTGCAGCTGTCTAGAGTGCCTCTTGGTAGAGCTGCACGACAGCTACAACTCCCTGGGCTACTTCCCCATGGCCTCCTCCCAATACCTTCTTTATCCTCACCACAGGACTTTTCTCCTGGTGTTTGATGATGCTTGTACTCCTCAGTCTTCCAGCAGTATGTCTTCTCACTCTCAGCTCCTAGTGCCTCTTGCTCCCAACTCCTCACATGCACACCACAAACTGAAGTGAGGTCCTTTTTAAACTCAGGTGCCCTGATTAGCTAGCCTGTCCTAATTGATTCTAGCAGTTTCCTGATTACTCTAGTGCAGCCCCTGCTCTGGTCACTCAGGGAACAGAAAACTACTCATCCAGTGACCAGTATATTTGCCCTCTACCAGACTCCTGTACCCCACTGGTCTGGGTCTGTCACTCTATCTATAGAATGATCAAGTGCCAGACTGTGGATAAATACACTTCTTTTGGAAGCTAGTTTATACTTGATTATTAAAATAGGCTACAGCCTATCTCATGGGGGGGGGAAGTAAGAATTGACTGCTATTACCTAGCTGTTCCTGACAGTTTATAAAAGCATGACTGGACAGGACTCTTTTTTCTTTTTGCTAAATTTCTGCTGAAATGGAAATCCATTGCCAGGTGCTGTACTTCCATGTAACTTTGTCAACCACAACCAAAAAGTCCCCTTCAGACCTGTGAATGGAAGGACAGGTGGCTGAGGATGGAAAAATTGAATTTTCAAGGATCGCCTCCCAGCAGTGCTTTATATTTTGTACAGCATTTGATGCAGAAACAAATCTTTAATTAAGTGTATTGCATTTTCTTTGGGCAAAATATATAATAAACACTTTGAAGTGAATTTTGTAGCTAGTTCTTCTAGTATGTTTCTGTTCATTCCATCCTAATATATTTTTCAAGAAAATAATAGAGAAAGCTTGTACAAATTAGCACAAGGCTCAGAATAATAGAAATCATGTTAGCATATTTAAATCTTTTCAGAAGTCGTAGATTAATTAGACTGAATTACACCTGAAAATAACTTATTACTTGGGATAATCTTTGTTTTTAACCAAAAATTTTAAAATTCTCTCATAGTAGGTAACTTTCTTGATTATAGTGGTATGCATTTAAGTGGTCCCAACTAGGTTTTGAAACTAGTTTCATTTGAGATTAATAGGTCATGTAGTTACATGTTCACAGCTATTGTTTATTGTAGGTGCTCCTTCTTGCAGGAAAGATTAGTTTAACAGGATCACCATGCAGTGCTGTACTGTACATAGTGAAAGGCTAGCTTCACAGTGGAAAAGGCTGAAAACGTCCCTACCTTTACCGTGTTAGGGAGGCGTTCAAATAGTAGCAGATATGCCTTTTGTTATAATACTTAACATTTCACTGATCTTGGTCTGTATATTGAGATTTAATTTCAGTTTGTTTAAAATCTTGCTGAATTATTTGATCGCACTTGTTACCGTAAAGCAGCTCACTTACCAACAGCATAAATAGAGAATACAAATGTTATGTTTGCATTTGTTTCAAGTCACTTATATAACTCATGAATGCCACACTTGCACATGCAGCACCTGCATGTATTCTGTATATGCTATGAGCTTTACAGCAACTGTTCTAGCTCCTGTTTATATTTAATAAAACTAGAAACAACATTGTTGGCGGTACAAGTTTTCTTAATTAACAAAAGAGATGGTAGGAATACAGTGAGTTAAGAGTATGTATACTTATTGCAATCTGGAATTTTATACCGCTTTAAGTTACATTCATTTATTTTTAGCCAGATCATCTTTCTTGGTTTATCCTTCCTCAAATGGTTCTATTATCAATCTGAAACAAATAAGTTCCCTTTCCGAATTCTTTTCTAATCAACCACAATGAGTATTTGCTTTCTCACTATAGTTAGCGACTATCTTATTTATAGTAATAAATTTTAAACATATCTACTTTGTTTAATTTCAGTCAACTCACACATTTACATAAAACGAATAATTTAGGGAGTGTCGCCATTTTGAAATTACACCTGAATCCAGTTTTTAAATCAGAACCGAAATCTTTCAGTTTGAAACTGTTCTCAAAGATGTAATGACACAGAGTTGGATCCATTGCCTCTTGAATTTTGAATCTATTTTGGTTTATAAAACTCTGTGGTAAAGAATATAAACATAAAATAATATAGAATACAAACACAATCTTCCACTTACCTCCAAGGAACACTTTTGTTGTTGTTGTTGTTCATGGAGACAAGCAGTATGTTCTCCCAGTCCCCTGGAAAGACTTGTTAAATTGTTTGTTTTCCTTATTCTTGCCTCACATGGTTTAAAAATGCCCTGTATCTCTAGCTAACCAATGATCTGACTATTTTGTCACTTACTCATGATGTTCCCTGTTGGGACCAAAATCTAGTTCTGTATATACAATCATAGAAGACTAGGGTTGGAAGAGGCCTCAGGAGGTCATCTAGTTCAACCCCCTGCTCAAAGCAGGACCAACCTAAATCATCCCAGCCAGGGCTTTGCCAAGCTGGGCCTTAAAAACCTCAAAGGATGGAGATTCCACCACCTCCGTAGGTAACCCATTCCAGTGCTTCACTACCCTCCTCATGAAATAGTTTTTCCTAATATCCAGCCTAGACCTCCCCCATTGCAACTTGAGACCATTGCTCCTTGTTCTGTCATCTGCCACCACCGAGAACAGCCTAACTCGATCCTCTTTGGAACCCCCCTTCAGGTAGTTGAAGGCTGCTATCAAATCCCCCCTCACTCTTCTCTTCTGCAGACTAAATAAGCCCAGTTCCCTCAGCCTCTCCTCGTAAGTCATGTGCCCCAGCCCCCTAATCATTTCCGTTGCCCTCCGCTGGACTCTCTCCAATTTGTCCACATCCCTTCCGTAGTGGGGGGGGGCAAAATTGAACACAATACTCCAGGTGTGGCCTCACCAGTGCTGAATAGAGGGGAATAATCAGGGGTCTGTAACATCTCTTAAGTGTTTGTTTACCTAGTTACTGGAGAGGTCTGGGTTTTCTAGTACCATCCTCGCTGGTCAGAAATGTGCTTACTTGGTTAGCTAATACCTGGTGTGTTGCTATTCTGCCAAGGCCAAGCCTACTTTGGTTCATACCTCCAAGGCTTACAAGAGTAAATCTGAAAAATGATTTAGAAGTAAATAAATAAATAAAGTACATCTTGAATTCTAGACATTGACTTGTCTTTCAGCCTTGGCAGAAGGGGTGGGTTGTTCGGCAGCATTCATACTATGAATTCTACCAAGAAACCTGTTTTGCCTAAGACAGAATAAATTGGAAAAATAAAACAAGCTTTTTAATCAAAATATAAAATATTGCTGTTTGGGGGAGACAGGCCAGCCTACATTTTTAGACACCTTTAATATTAAAATCTTGTACAACTTTTATACTTTCAAACATTTAATGATATTGGCCTGTGAAAGGTGTCATTTATTTGGTCCACTCCTTCCTTCAAGATCAATTAAATAGTGGAAGTTCTCCATGCGTTGGGCAGGCTGTTTCTTTGTATACCATCAGTAATTGCTTCCAAAATAAACAAGGATACAGATTTTAAAAGAAATTATCATTACACCTGTCAGGGTGTGGTGCTTTATTTTTCAAGTCATTGTTTGGTAATTCTTTCTGAAAATTTTATGTTCTGTTTGTGCTGAGTTAACTCTTTTGAATGCTTTTGAGCTGATTCAGATAAGAGTAATAATTTATTCTTTTCTGATTATACCTGTCCTTTTTCCATGTAAACTTCAGTTTAATGCAATAATGCTTCAGCAACTTTCGTCTTTGTGCATTTCAAATGAAAATTACCCTCCCCCCCCCCCCCCAAAAAAAACCCCCAAAACAAAACCCACATTAACACAGGAACAGGCATCTATATGTGATAATAAGTAGTCTAAGTCTTCTGGCTTTGTTTCCATGTTCAAAGTACTCTTGCTTAGCATACATTTTAGCCAGTTTTATTGGTTAGCATGGTGAGCAACTAACTTCAAAAACAAAACTCTTAATTTGAAAAACAGGCCTGCCTAAACTTTTGCATGTAAGAAAATGAACAATTAAGCTGCCCACACAAATGAGTTAAAGTACAGAAATGCATATATCATCACAACTTAGTGTAATCAAAATTTCAGAACAATTACCTTATCCAAGAGTTGTAACTTGAATTTGAAAGCAAGGAGGTTTTTTGTTTGAAGTTACAAGCTGGGAGGTCAATATGGCCTGAGCTACAGAGAAGCGTGTTTTATTTTGTTGTTGTTTTTTGTATAATCGCCTCCAACCAGGGTAGATGGATGGATTGGTTTAAGCACCAATTAAAATCAGCAAGTAGAAAATCTTGATTATAAATAAATTGTAATCATGTTTTCCATTTGTATTTTTTAGTTATTTTCCTAAGCGTTTTTCATTGCTGATTTAATTTAAAACTAAATGCAGTTTTTACACTAGATTTGACACCACTTTTGTTAACCAGGAGGATACATTAACTATACATTTAACATACATTTGTTCAGATTCTTGATTTCTGCATTTTTATTGTTAAATTTACTAGATAATTAACTTTTTACTTGTGATTTGTATCAAGCTTCATTTGGATGGAAACTGGAATTCAATTAAATTGTACAGACAGCATTTTAAGTTTTATTAACTAACAAATGTACTGGATACATACAACCGATGAAACGAAGTGTTTCTGTTCATCAGAGCTGAAAGTACTGACATTTGAAACAGAATATTAGCATTAACTCCATTGTAAAGAGTGAAAATGATGTACGTATTTTGTGCACTACATGACAAAATGTACCATATTTATAAAGCTTGACCTTAAGTTAGCTGTTTTTTCCCCTGGATCTGTGTATAAAAACCCCGTTTTTAACTCATTACTTAAAGTTTGTGAAGAGGTCTCATTGATTCAGTATCTCTTGTATTTATTTAAATGATGAATAGATTATACTATGTTTAGGGCTTAACACCAGCTTGCCATAAATTCAAATTTAACTGTAAAAGGATTACTTTCTAAATTAAAACTTTAAATTTAAAATTGTTATAAATCAATTTATACAAAAAATCACTGATTTTTATCTGATTTTCAAATATTCTGCGGTCTTTGTGAAAACATTCTCCTTTTTGCCCAAAGAGTAAATCTGGTAATTTTCACACCAAACCAATTTTCCAAGCCAAAGTTATAAGAAGCTTGCCTTGACATTCCTATGAAGGAGAAGCACCTCTCAATAATAGTAATAATAATAATAAGTTTACATATTGCAAGACTCCCCCCCCCCCCCGTATTTTGAATGCTTATGTAGATGTGTCCTGCCTGCTAGATAGGAGCTCCTCTGTTAGGGCTTGTCAGTAATAATGTAAATATCTACCATCAATCAAACATTGCCCCTTCCCCCTCATCTTATAAGACCCTCTCCCTTGGGGTATTACTTCTGGGGCAGAGATTGGCATGTGGCTGGAAGGAAGGGGTGGCATATGACTCCACTAAGAATGCCACTCTCCCCCCCCCCCACCTTGCTACCCTCTACAAATTGGTGTCTGTCCCAGCCCTGTATGGTCACTCCTGCTTTTGGAGAGGTCTATCAGGGCAAATTTCAGGGTGGGATGACCTGTCTGGAAGTTTTATGCTCCCTCTAAGAACTCCTCCCACCGCTCTATACCAATCCAAGCAGATTTCAGCCCCACAGGACATTCTGGAAGGGAAATGTGTACCAATCAGAATAGGTATTGCACAAGTAGCTAGGCCAGATACTCTGCCCTCTGGAGTTTAACAATTGGCTGGTCAGCAGCATTACCCCTGGAAGCCTTTTCCACGCAGCAAGGCGCTATCTTGTTTCAAGGGTGTGTTTTCAGAAATCATGGAAATGCTGAGAAGAAACATGGCAGCCTTTACCACCCCTGTGAAAACTAGGAGATTCGTTTTAGCTCTAAGGGTGCTAAATAGCTCACAAAGTGCTACATTAGCAACAGTTTTGAGGAGGAGAGAGTGGCCACGGGTATCCCTTTGGCCTAACTGTTGGCTGGGTACACTGGAACCTGACAGCAAGACCCATGCTATTGAGAGTCAGACTGAGTGTGATGCCCGCCCACCATCTGAACCTGTGGAGGAAGGCAACCAAGCTTCCTTGGAGTCACCATCGGACAAAATGAATGAAGAAGATGTTGCTCTGGTAAATAGACTATACAGGTGGAAGTTAGGGGGGATTGTAATGGGGTAGGAAATGACCTGCGGTTTTGTAAATCTAAAATAGGACTTAAAGCTATTTATTTTTTGAAAAATCTGGGAACAGTTTGCCATCACCTTTCTAGAGGCCTTTGAGAATCCCCTAGGACATCCTGGAACAGATTCACTCTCAGTGGGCGTATTATCTTGAATCAGCTGGGTGTTTTTTTTTTTTAATGCCTCCAACAGAGATCGAGAGGCGACCCTGGATAAGAACAAAATGGAAGAATGAGCCAGCTTGGACCCTTGGATGGTGTGGGTTCACAATGTCCATTTTCCACAGCAGGGGCTGTAAAAATGATGTGTTAAACCATGTGATTAAAAGATTGTTTAAATTTGATTGTGACCCCTCCATACTAGTGTTTGTAAAAGACTTTACAACCAACAGCCATGTGTACACAGGTGGCTCTGTTAAAGAAAATATTACATCTCCAGGGAAGTCGGGAGCTTCAGAGGCATGAAGCTTCTTTTTCAAGCAGCCAAAAAACAGTAATTCTTTGACTAGAAGACAGGTAACAGGTTCGATTTCAGAGCAAGATGCTTACACATACCAGTACAAATACGTTTTTTAAAGAAATAAGACTGTTACTTCAGATGTGATGCATAATTGCAGGCACTGGTTTTAAGTGGATATGCAGCAGCTCTCCAAACACAACAGTGCTTTTAAGTACATCTTAACAGTGATAGACATTCTACGTAAATATGCTTGGGCCTAAAAGACAAGATGTGTGGTGAAATATCCAAGGTCTTTATAACTATTTTCAGGGACAGTTGTACCTTGAAAATTACAAACCAATTGGGGGAAAGAATTTTTAAACAAACCTTTAAGCAAATTGTTAAAGTAATATGTCCACCAGTTTGTTACTAATGAAGTCAAAGCAGGGGTTGTGGAGTGGTTTAATAAAACTTTAAAATCTAAGACTGGGATATATATTACAACCAACAATACCTTTCACTACATTGATGATGTGTTACTGGAGTTTATAAAGAGTTACATGTAGTTCATTGAAAACTTTGATTGTATCAGACCTTTTGATGTTAACCTCTCAAATTCTCTAAAAGTATGGAAAATCGTTTATGGAGAATGTTTTAAAATAAATCAGATTGCTTCCTCGTTTAGAGAAGGCCACTGTATTTAAAAACAAAAGGAGCTTTTGAAAAAGGCTATGAACAAACTTTTATCACTGAAATATTCGTAGTGGATGAAGCCTTAACCATGGGCCAAAGAACTGTATACCAATTAAAAGATTATGGAG